GTGTGTTATCCACCAAACACACCTGGTGCTGGAGATGCTCTGCAGGGATGAAGAGCAGTGAAACTTGATGGGTTTGGGTTTATTTTTCCTCCCTTTGAATCCAATGGCACAGCACAGGGCTGAGCTGGGGCTGGGCACAGCAAATCTGCCCATCCTGGCCGTGCCAGGGGCTCTGCCCCATTCCCATGGGCACTGAGGGCCATCCCTGCCCTGCCTGCGCTGGCAGAGCCACAGCAGTGATGTGCCATCATAAAATCTCCCCTCCTGAGGCTCAGTGACCTGCTGGGCAGACGCTCCATGGCCACTGGTGGCATCAGCAAATTGGGGTTCTATTTTATTAGTTCTAAATTTCCCAGCCATTAATTTCAGTGACTCCTGGCTCTCCCAACGAGGTTTTTTTTTTTGAAGCTCCTTTCCCATGACATTCTCAGCATCTGGGCACACTTGCACCAGGGCCTGGCACCTCTTGGCCTTGCACATGGCCACTGGGCAGCCCTGAGATGCTGTTTGGGGTGGCCTGGGCTGTGACCTGTGCTCTCAGCCTCCCATGGTGTGCAGGGCAGCTGAGTGCAGCAGCCTGTGTGTGCTCATGGGTGTTTGTATGTGCACATGTGGGCAGGTGTCTTCATGTTCCAGCACTGGACACCCCCACAGTGAGGGCTGAGGGGACACTGAGGGGTCCTGGTCCCCACATTGCCTCCTGTGCTGTTTGGGGTGGGTTTTGCCCCTCTCCAGCCCTGTTTCCAAACACCATAAAATCCTCAGCTAACAAATGCAGCGGCGAATAGAAAAACGGCCTTTGCCATCCAGTGTGATTATAGGGAACAGAGCCAGGGGCCTCGGGGTGGGTTATAAATCTGATTTATTGACCCAGCCCAGAGCAGCCGCGGCTCTGGCTAGTGAGTAAGTCTTAAATTTCATTGGGTGATAAATACTGAGAGCGAATCAATTTGGTAGAAAAGCTAATTAGCCAGCGTGGTTCCGCATCGATCTCCGAGCCCTGCGTGGCCGGGTGCGAGCCAAGGCTTCCATCATCCCGCGGGCCCAGGGTGGGCTGGTCCCCGCACCAACCTCACCAGCCTCTACCATGGCCTGCCCAGCTGGGGCATGGCGTGGTGTGGTGGCACACGGCCGGGGGTGGCACTGACCCCGATGTCTGAGGGGGCAATGGGGAGTCCTGGGGGTTCCTGACCCCCCGTCCGCCCCAAGGCAGGTGGTGAAGGTGGTCGGCAGCAACATCTCCCACAAGCTGCGGCTGTCGCGGGTGAAGCTGGAGGACGAGGGGACCTACGAGTGCCGGGTGATCGACTCCAGCGACGGCAAGGCACGGCACCACAAGGTGAAGGCGTACCTGCGGGTGGAGGCGGCGGGGGGCCCGGGGCACCCCCAGGACACCGAGCTGCGGGAGGCGCCGCTGGCAGACCTCGCAGCGCCGGGCTCAGCGCACGCACACCACCACCAGCACCAGCACAAAGCCGGGAGGGAGCTCAAGAAGCGCTCGGCAGACGCCTCCTGCGTGCTGTAGGTGGGCGCTGCGGGGGGACGCCGGAGCCCCCCTGCGCCCCGGACTCAGCGGGGCCATCGAGGGTCCCGCAGCCCCTGCCAGAGACTGGCCCCAGCCCCCGGCTTGTCCAGCCCCCCTCGCCCCCTCCCTGTCCCCGGGGCCCGGCGGTGCCAGGGCTCGGCGCGGCGCGGGGCCGGACCCGCCGGTGCCACGGCTGCATCCCGGGGCTGTGCCCGGGGCCAGGGCGTGTGCCCACGCGTGGTGTCCCCGTCCCCGGCCTCGTGCGGGCGGTGCCGCGGGCTGTGCTGTGCCCCAGCTCTGCGCCCCACGGGACCCTCCCTGCCCTCCCCCGTGCTTCGCAGACCCAGCCGCCTGTTCCTGTAGGTTGCCCCGTTTAGTTGCTCGGTTCCAGCCCCACAGTGCGTGTCTAAGTTCCAGCCTCCATCCTACGGCCCGTGTGTATCCCCCCGCCCTGCCCTGCCCTGCCCCGCCTGCCCCGCAGCCCCCAGCACGTCAAGGCCTGAGCTCAGCAGAGGAAGGACGGCAGGGCACATTGCTGGCACCTCGGGCATCGCTCAGCCAGGCAGCTGCCCGTGCTCCGTGTGTGCCCGGGAAGGCAGACACCTCCTGTGCCATGGGCGCTGGCCCCTCGCACCCATCACTCCTCTCCCCTCGCATCTCACACAGGATGGGGCGCTCATCCGCCAGCCCCGTCCAGCCCATCCCGCCGCCCGTGCTGCCGTGGCTCCCGGCCCCCTCTGGGTGAAGCATCCCTCCCCTCCAGGCCACAGCAGCACGCTGCCCGGGCAGGGTCTGGCCCAGGGGCTCTTGTGCCGCAGTGCCAACAGCAGAGCCCGTCCCTGCTGCCCCCAGGGTGACCGCGGCCGCTGGGGCCGGAGCTGCGGGGACGGAGAGGGGGGCCCGAGCCTCCCCCCGGGTGCTGCTCCCCTGCTGCCCCCCAGCCTGCCACCATCAGACCTGCTGCAGCTAATAAAGCTCTTTAAAGGAAACCTCTGCCGTCTGTGCTCTCTGTCTGTGGCACGGCAAGGGGACGGGGCTTTGGCACTGCCTCGGGTAAAGAGGGGCAGAGCTGGGGCTGCTGGGGATGGGCATGAGGATGAGGATGGCAATCAACATCATCCCCTGCAGCTGAGGGCTCAGGGCTTTAAAAAGCTGCAGCTGGGAGCTGCTGCCCTGAGAGGTGCAGGTACAGCGAGGTGCCAGGTGAGCTGGGGGTGCTCCATGCTGTGGCCATGGAGTGCTGGGTGGGCTGCCAGGTGAAATCCTGGCCACACAGCCCAGATTCCCAGCCTGGTGGGAGGTGGGGTCCCCAAAGCAGGGTGCTGGCTCTGCCTCTGCAGTGGGAGAGCAATGCCCAGCCTGGCCCAGCTGCCTGGAGTGCTGCAGCTCCTCTGAAGCTTGTTAATTCCTGGCCCTCCATCATGCTCATCCTTCCCTGTGCTGATGAGAAGGAGAAAGAGCTGGTGGCTCTTTCTGCCAGCAGAGGTGTCAGCCTGTGCTGGGGGCAGGAGCAGGCAGGGGTGGCTGCTGTCTCTGGTCACCTCTGCCACCTGGAGAACTGTGGTCCTGGGGAGCAAAGGGCACAGGAGAAAAACATTCAGGAGCTGCAGGGCAGCAGCTGTAAATAACTGCAGCAAGTTTTTTCCAGCAGTGGTGGCTGTGCCTAGCAATCCCTGGTAGAGCTGTGGGGCTGGGGCTGTGCTCAAACTCTCTGTCAGGGAATGGGGTTGCTGGGGAAAGAAGAGAGACTGGGATGCATTGGTCACCAGTGCAGCAAAACACAGGACACAGCAGAGGAAAAGGAAGACCCAGGGACACGCTAGGTTGGGCAGGAGACTGCAAATCACCTCAAACAGGGAATAAACAAATTGCTGCGCAGCACAGTGATTTGTAAAACCTGGAGGTGAGCTTTAACAATAACAGGTTTTATTAGAAGAGATTAATTTTGCCGAGTTTATAGGAAATCTTGGGAGCAGGAGTTGAGGAGCAGACCCTGCTGGATCCGTGTGTGTGGCTCAGCAGAGCCAGGGGCTGTGTGGCACTGTGCCCCCAGCACAGTGTGGCAGTCCCCCAGGGTCCTGGCTGGGTTTGTGCATGGAGGAGGAGGCTGGACACTCCTTTCTTTGCTCTCTGATCCCAGAGAGGGTGGCTGGAGTGGGGGGAGCTGGGGGTCCCCACCCCAGAGTGTTGGAGGCTGCTTGGTGGAGGGGAAAGCCTGGGGCTTGTGAAGGGGCTGAGCTTAAAATGCAAGCCACTGCTGGGGAGGAACCAGCCTCATGGAAATGCCATTTCCACACAGTTCATCTCCCAGCCATCATCCTGCCTCAGACAAAAGCAATTTACTCAGCCTCCAATAAAGCAAGGGTGATAATGAAGCTGAGAGGAGCTGACTGACAGGCAGGACAGCCCCTCCTGCCACCAGCACCCACCTGCTGCCCGGGGCTGAGGGGAAAATCTCGGGACAGCACTGTGAATCACAGGCTCTGGGTGGGGGTGTCAGTGCTGCCAGCTGTGCCAGAGCCCTGCCTGGGTGATGTGCTTGGTTCCTGGGCACTGATGGGACAATGCTGCCCTTCAATCCCGTGCCTGTCCTGCAGGATGGCAAACCTTGGCATGGGCAGGATGTGTCCTTGGAGTCCCCACCACAGCACAGCTGAGCAGAGTGAGACTGGATGCAGCATCTGCACCTAATGGATGAGTTTTGTCAAGTGCTACAACAACCCAGGAAGCTGCACCAGCCCCAAGGGCTCTGGGAAAGCAAAGACAGTATTTCAGCTCCCTGCCTGCCCTGTCAGAGCAGCTCTGAAGGCTCCTTTGTATGGAACCCAACCAGCGTTAAGCACTGAACAGATATTAAAAAAGAGTAAAGCTGACCTGCAGCCCTGTCCTGCTGGATAAAAAGCCACTGACTTGTGTTTTCCCTGAAGAAGCAAACAGGAGGAAAGCCTGAATAAAACCACGGACACAAGGGGAAGTAAGTTCAGCTGAGGGATGTGGCAGCAGAAGCAGTGCCCTTGGGCCCACCAACAGAGCCGTGTTTTGGATGTTCACCCAGGATCCCAACAGTGATGCACAAAGCCTGCTCCATGTCACAATCTATTTATTGCTTTGGTTTTTGTATTTCTGAGCTTGCTTCCAAATTTAGTCAAGATCTGCCCTTTTGCTTCACTTGCATAGATGCTCCTCCAGTGTCAGGAGGCAGCCTGCTGCCAGGAGCTGCTCAGAGGAGCTCAGGGATCCGGGAGCAGCTGAGCAAAGCAGAGCCTGTGGACAATGCAGCAAGAGCCTGGGGATGTGGGAGCTGGAGATCAGGGGAGAGGCCCCTCAACAGGGGAAGGGAGCTGACCCCACAGAGGAGTCATCCTCTGCTCCCTGTACCCCACTGTGCCCACTCTGACAAACCATGGCACTGCTGGGCTGCTCACAGCCCCTGTCACCACTGGCACTGCCTGACCATGGACAGGCACAGGCAGGTGCTTCATCCACTTCTCCTTGGGGTGGGGGTTAGAAATGGCCTGAGAACCATGATCTGGGCATGGGAGAAGTTGTAAATCCCTCCCAGGTGTAAATCAGGGCTGGCTGATTCTCTGCAGAACCTCACAGAGAGGGAGATAGAGAACAGAGCACGTTTGGCCACCTCCATCTGGTCTCAGCAAACTGCAGCTGTGAGGAGCAGCCCTGATGCCTCTGAGAGGACACACTGTTCTTGATAGTAACACAGGTGAGGAATTTATTGGAAATGCACTTTAACTTCTGAGATTAACTGCTTTTAAAGAGAACAGGTTTATAGTGCACCCCAAACCAGATTCTCTTCCTGGGAAGGGTAAAGGCCAGAAAAAGCTTTTGCTTTGTCAGTCACTGTCCAGCTGAGAATGGGGAGGGATCATCACAGCTGTGAAGAGATCAGAGAGGTGTGGGGGGTGCTAAAGGGCACCCCCACCAAGGATCAAGGGTTAGGAAGTAATTTCTGGAAGATGACTTACTCTTCATACTGAAGAATTTGGAACAGATGTGCCGTTTTCTCTGCATGTGGTGCTGGCCAGGCACAAGTCAGGAGGAGTTAGGGTCGTGTACCCACCTCATCCTCAAACACCCCTTCAAAAAATAAACCCTCAGCCACAGGGACAGTGTCTCAGCCATTGCCCCAGGCTGGGCAGCCCCTCCTCTGCCCCTGAACCATTTGGATCCTCAGTAATGGTGTCTTCCCAGGTGAGCTCCATCCTGGTGGTTCCTGTTTCCATCCCAGCTGCTGTGCAGGTCTGTCAGGAAGGAGCTGCCTGCTGTGTGCTGGGGCTGGGAGCTGTGCCCTCCTGCTGCTGCAGCCTCTGGAGCAGGAGCAGCACGTTGTCTGTGAGCTCGTTCCGTGGCCGCCCCATCCCACTGAGATTCACGGGCCGCAGGCTGGCGTGGGGGGGCTCGCAGGGGGGGCAGCACTCCTCACTCAGGAGCAGCCACGTGCTGTCAGGGTCCACCTGCATCAAGTGCAGGAAAACACTGTGCAAAACAGAGGAAAAAAGAGTAAGGACAAAGCTTTGTGGTTGGCACTCAATGGGGTTATTAAGAGTTAAGGAAAGCTTTGATGCTGCTGGCAAGCTCTGGCAGCTGCACAAATTCTGCTCCTTATAGGGGGCAGTGCACTGGCCCCTGTGCCCAAGAAAGCAGCTCTGTGTCTCACAGCTACTGGCACGTGGGAGAAAAATATTTATGATGCCACACAGTCACTTATGGACATCAAACAAGCAGCTGGTGCAGGACTGACCCAGGCTTGGTGCTGGCAATGTGTGAGCTGCTGCTGGCACAAGCACAAACCTCCCTGTCCCACGTGCTGGGGAGGTGGCTGTGGGCGACTGCAGGTGCTGTGCATGTCTGGGATCTTTTGGACAACAGCTCCTGCAGAGATCTTGGGAGAAGCTGCGTTACTCACCACCCTCTCTGGTTTTTGGGGAATGAGGGAGTTAACCCATGTGGGTTTCTCTGCCTTTCCAGAGGTGGCAAACCCAAGAGTATTTGGGGAGAGCTGCCCAGGCTCCCCCAAGGGAAGCTCAATGCTGTATTTGAGGGCTTTTTGCTCAAGTGAGATCTCCCACAGTCCCAAGTCCTTATTAGCCGCTTCAAAATTTTTGTCACCTTTCACAGAGCAGGATTTTAAACCAAAACAAAACACAATCTTCATTAAGAACACAATGAAGGAAAAGAGGAATCACAACTTCCTCTGCAGATTTACTGCTGTGTTGATGGTTTTCACTTTGCATTTCCACATCTCAGTAAGATGGGATTTGCCTTTCCAGCGTGCCCTTCACACAGGGCTCCAGCTGTGAGCTGCTGGGACACAGCTGCTGCTGAAGAGCTGGAAGCTCAAGGAGTGAAAGAGCAAATGCTGATTTGTGTGACCTACACTTACCCACCCCCTCCTGCCAGCTCTCCCTGCAGCAACCTTTGGGCTTAGCTAGGTCTGTGTCAGGGTTTAATGCACACAAGGTGTACAAGGCTTAACTGGTATTAAACTCTCTGGCTGTGCCATGAACAAAACTAGACTGGAATTTCCAAGATTCCTCCTAAATGGTGCTGAGTGCTCTGTGAACACCAAAGGCACTCAGCACTCACCACACCTATGGTACAGTTTTCTAAGACCCCAGTAAAGCCCAGCCATGCATCCTCAGGTCTCTAGTCTTCAGTGAAATCATGGAGCTGTGAGGAGAACAGCTGCCAGCTCAGGTAATGGGAAGAGAAATCAAGTAAGTCTGTCTCTGCTCTCCCAAGAAGAACAGGACTGAACTCTCTCTCTAAAAGCAAAGATCACTTGCTAAAAAAGCCACACAAAATCCAGATCTGACTGCTGTCCAAATTTCTCTTGGAAGAACTTTCATCCCTAAAGTGAGGTTGCTTCCAATGTAAAGCAGGGAGAAATCCCTTTGAGAAGCTCCCTGAAAAGGGAGTGCAGTGCCATGGGTAAAGTGAAAGAGCACAGAAATGAGATGAAGGTAGGAGAGAGCTCCCTGTGGATGTTACTCATGCACAGCCAAAGCTGCTGCTTTTGCCTCTCTGCCATGAACACCTCACCTGTCCCTCAGTGCAGGTCTCTGAACAGCAAGAGGGGAGATGTCACCACTGAAGCTGCTGGCAGTGTCCCCTCCCAAAGGTGCTGGCAGTGTCTATCTGCCTGCTCCAGAGAAACCAGTGGGAATGTGTTCCACAGTGATAGCTGGGCTTGGCAGCAGCTGCCTCAGCAACACCACCTTTTCCTGTGCATTGGCCAGTGCAGGTGAGCTCACAGGACTCCTCACTCCCCTGGCTTTGCTTCTGCACCTCTGCTGACTGGAAGGAGAGGACTGGCCCACTCAGTGCCAGCCCAAGCAGGGGCTGGCAGGGGCAGGAGTGTAAGTGATTTTTGTAACTGCAGCTTCATGCAATACTCAAGAGGCAAAAATAGATGCTGGGAAAAAAAGGGTATGGAGCTCTCCCTGGTGCCATCCTGGCTGCAGCTCTGCAGACACTGCCCTGCCCGTGCCCTCAGCCTGGCTGTGACAGCAGGAGCCCTCAGCTCTGTGTGCCAGCAAACAGCAGCTCCCAGTGCTTCCCCCCAGCTTTCAATGGGCAGCTGCAGAGATAATCCTTGCTCCTTATGGCTGGGATGGGAGCAGGCAAGGGCAATGAGCTGCTGTGAAGTGAACATGGGAAGAGGGGATATTGTGCAGCAGGCTGCTGATCCCCAGCACACACACAGCTGTAGCTCTCACACTCGCAGCACAGACACTCTGCTCTCCAGCCCTTCCCAATCAGCTGCTCCAGGGAGAGCGACCCTCAGAGATTATCCAGACCCTGGAGCACTCACTGCCTCTGGTGCCCATAATGGTTTGGGGCTGTGATTATCCCTGATAGCCTGGAGTGCTCTGCAGCCTAAAGAACAACTTGACTTTTACATTTTCAAACTAACTCTGGGGTAGTTTCCGAGCAACCTGTTTCCATAGCAAAGAATCCTGGGGTTAATCCAAGTTTGTTTTCTGTTGTTGCCTTTTTCTTTTTTTCTCTTAAATATCACTTTATTGAATTTTGCCTTGAGCAGGTGGCTGTTCTGGCATGCTTCAATCCAGCCTGGGAGTGACAGCTGACAATGAATCCCCAACAAACCCCACAAACAAACCAGAAGAAGTAAGCTGCATGATCAACTTTGGTATGAAAAAAGCTCCCCAAATAGCTCATATATGTCCCAAGTGTGCTAAACTTATTCTACAAGCACAGAGCAATTTGGCTACTCTGTTGCCTTGTCTTTGCCCAAACTCCAAGCAGAGCCATGGCACAGTGAGCAGACTGGCAGAAGGACAAGGATTGCTGGCTTTCCATCCCTGCTGGATGTTTAACTGGATACAGCCCACCACAGGCTTTGGTAAGAACTGAGGAAATTATTTCAGCATCCTAGGGGAAAAAAAAAAATCATTCCTATCCAGACTGCTGACTGAAAGGTCACGGGCTGCAAACATTTAGTAGGAATTAAGTGTAAATTTCAAAACAGTGACTTGAAACTGAAAGAACGGAAAACTACTTGTCAGTTTTGACAAGGGCCAGTGACAATTTCCTAATCTCTTTTCCTTCAAGGTTTTATTCCCTGAAGTGAAAAGCTTGTCAGGGATGATGCAACTTCATAAATTGAGGAGAAGCTCAGATTTACATACAGTGATTTTCAGTTTCTACCATCTCCCCTGGCCTTGTTCCCAGAGCTGGGCCCCCCCCTTGCTCAAGTCTTTCTGGGCACTTCCCCATCCTTGCACAGGTTCATCTTCAATGATGGCAAAGACTTTTCTAGTGCTCCTTGGCATTCCCAAACTCTTCTTCAGTAGGTTTGGTCCCTTTGGTCCCAATTTTGCATTTGGTTTTGGTTTGTTGTTTGATTTTTTAAAAAGTTTTGGATAATACTCTCCTGAAATACTCTCAGCAGTCATCTTCTAGTAAAACCCATTGTTATTGTCCCATTTTCTCTTCCTCAGATGTGCTGGAGTTCTTTTTTTCCCAGCATCTATTTTTGCCTGTTGAGTATTGCATGAAGCTGCAGTTACAAAAATCACTTACTCCCACTGCTTCATCTAATAAAGCTACAGGGTCCCATAAATGGAATTAAGCAGACTCCTTGGGGCATGATAACATCCCTGGATGATAGCCAAACTCCCTTTTTCCTTTTTATTTTTTTTTTTTGGTGTGGCTCAAGCACCTTGGCCAAAACTTCCTGCTCAGCCCTCTGCATGCCTACAGAATCCTCACATAGTCAGTGCATGATTTTTGGAGCTACAGCTGACTTTGCAAGTGCTGACCTTGCTCTTGACAGGTCACAACCCATCAGTTGAATAAGAACCCTAAGAGCTGAGCAAAGGCCAGTTAGCATAAATCACCATGGCAAGCTGATTCCAAACATCCTTTTACCTCCTATGATTTCTGCAGTGATAAAGCTGAGTTATGTGACGTACGCTGGCGCTCAGGCTGGGGCTAAGATTAGTTCTGGTCTATCTGTTTTTAGAAGCATTTAAAATGCAGAATTTCTCATGTATCACGCTGATAACACTGCCCTTGCTTAGATGGAAAGGCCCTTATGTGTGACAGCCTGTGTCAGCTTGCAGGATTACTTTCAGGCACATGGAGAGCAAGGAGAGCCAGAACTTAGAGCAATGTGGTGGTTCAGGAGCTGGAGAACAGAAATGGAAGGATGGCTGAGAAGTGATTCTTATCCTGATACTGGAGCTGATTGTTATGGTCCAAGCTAATTTTGACTTTTCCAGGCTGAAACCTCCTATCAGGGAAATGCAGTTAAAAGTGAGTGTGATACAATGAACTCTGGTACATTCAGGCTTCAAGATCAGGGATCAAAAAATTAAACCAAATAGAAACCTGCAAATGCTGCCATGTCTGCAGTGTCAGGCCAGGCATGATGCATGCCTCAGTGCATACATGTGTCTGGTCAATGGAGTTAAACAGGAGACAGCAAGGGCTTCCAGGAGCAGCTTGGCTCACATATGTGATGTATGGTGCATCAAAAGCATGGGGGGGGAGGAGCAAAACATATGGCATTTTTCCCTTAAAATCTAATAAAAGTAACACACAGGGGAAAAATGTTACTTGCCCTGAACTTTGCTGCCCTTTTGCTCTAACAAGTGAGCTCACTTCAGCACACAGCTTCCAACAGGGCTCATTTAATATTCCCCCTGCCCCTGCTGTTGGGGGGAAATTGCACAGCTTCTCAAGCTGCTTGGTTAATGATTTAAAAGCTTCAGATTCCAAATATCTAGATAAACCCTGGTGTTCTGCTTTTCATCCAGCATTGCTTGCACAGACTGAGGCTTTATTGCATTAAGGGGATGCACTCCCACAGCATAGAGCCCCTCTGCAGAACAAATGCTGCTGGAGCCTGCTGTGCTGCTGTGAAAGCCTCCAAGGTAAAAATAAACCTGCTCCCATCCGTGCAGAGAGACAAACAAAGGAATGCTCCAGCTCGGGAGAGCTGAGCCTCTGAACTGCTGCCCAGCCACACAAAGCCCTTCACACCCCGCACCCCCGGGAGCCTGGGCTTTGTCAAAGGGAACGGATGGGCTGCACTTCCCTTTGCTTCCCCTTCCAGCAGCCTGCCCTGGAAATCCGACACCGCAGAGCCTGCTGCTCTCCCCTCCCCTCGGGGGAGGGCAGGGCTGGCCACACAGCAAGGGGGGCTGGCTGGTTTTCACCCCCGTCCTTCGGCAGAGGGGCTTCCCGATTTATGTCCCACGTTCTGTACCTGGACTCGTTTTGTCTCCTGAAATCCCCAGCTTTGGTTCCAGGTGACAACATATGACAACAGTGATTTCTTATCCTGACAGCAGAACATGCTGAGCTGGATTTTGTACACCAAGCAGCAAAGTATGTCTGTCAACACTTCCTAGAGCTGGAGTGTGTTCACCTACACTGTCTTTGCTCTTTTAGACTCTCCCAGCCTCCTCAAGAGGAACACTGGTGCCAAGACTGACAGCTTCCCAAACAAACTGGTCCACCTGGCAGAGCCTGGGCTGGAGCCCAGGGAAAATGGAAGGATAACAAAGGGAGATCCCCCAGCCTGCAGAAGGCATTAAGTGATAAAATACAAGGGAATGCCTGGCACATCCTCTTCCATAGCTGTCTTTCCTCTGCAGTTTGATGCCACCAGTGGGCCAAAAGCATCAGGTATTTGGTGAGGAAAAAGTAAGTAGCACATCTTCCCCTTTATCCCCAAATGCACTGCAAGGTCACTTGTAATGTCTGTGCAAGCTGACAAGTGACCTCTCTAACTCATTTTGGGGAGTGATACTTCACCACAGAAATCTTCCATGAGAGTTCCTGTTGTACAGGACTTGAACGTGCTGGAAGGTGGAACAGGAAAGGTGCAAAAGGACTGGGATCACCATGCTCCCTCTGTCCCCCACTGTTTGTACACCCAACACACCTGCATTTAAGAGACATTACCTCTGGGCAGCTTCTTGCAGTTTCACAGGTTGCTTGGCACTGAGGTAAACCAGGCAGGCCTCTGCCACTTTATTCAGGTCACTCTCGCCTGCAGAAATGGAACAGGAAAGAAGGGTAGGAGGTGACCTCCTCAGCAGCTGCTGCCTAATGGAATCAGCTCCAAATTGGCAGCAGAGGCTTCAGAGCCTTTGAGCTGTCTGACCCAGAGCTCTTCTGACCTTGCCTTTAAAGCATCTTGCTGCAAAGCCAGGAAAGCAATCAAGGGCACTGAGAGGAAAAGAGCAACTAGCCAGCAAACCTTCTCCCTCATCAAAGCCAGTTCCAGAAATTTCACTTGGGGAGAATTTCAGAGTTTCATTCAACAGAAGACTGTGATGTGCTGGATTTAAAGGATCCCCCAGAGATAAGCCCACAATAGAACCAGTCAAGCTGGCCAGAAGTCTTATCTGGGTTCCAGTTTGTCCAGTAAGAACCAAGTGTGGCCCAACAGCAATGCAGGGACTCTGTTCTGCACGCTCTTCTCATCCACAAGTGGGATGAGCAGTCACATCTTGCTTGTGGTGGGAACCTTCTCTCCCATTTGTCTCCTGGGGAGAAAAGTGCCCAGCACCTCTTTACAGAGCTCCCAAAGAGAACAGATTCAGGCTAGAGAAGATCAGGAAATCAATTCTGGGCAGCAGGAGGAAAAGCAGCAAATTGAGAGGAGACAAAGTCTAACAGAGATCCACAGAACCTGTGCTTGCTCTGGTACTCACCCATGTCCAGCTTCTCACAGAGAGAGCCCAGGCCCTGCAGCACAGCCAGCTGCAGCTTGAAGGCCAGTGTGTGGCTGTACACAGGCCCAGCCCTGGCACTCACTGGGGCCTGGCTGAGGAGGGAGCTGGTCAGCTTGGGCAGGACATCCTTGGAGAACCTCTGCCTCAGGAAATCCCCACATGTTTGACCCAGGGTACACAGCACCTAAGAGAGACATCAGTTACACACTGGCCTGGGAGGAGCTCAGAGATCCACACCAGCCTGGGGGGGTTCAGACATTCACTCTCCTGGAGAATTGTTTTTGCAGGGGAGAGCACTGTGACCACACCTGCCCCAGTTTCCCCATAATGAGCAGAAGGGGAATGTCTGAGAGGCTGAGTGAGCTCTGCAGTGTCACTTGGCTGACCTCCTGGGCTGCCCTTCCCTCATTAGCACAGTAAAGGTAAGAGCAGCTCTGCATTCTTACTCAGAATTAGTGGAGGAGTCTTTGATGGAAAATGCCATTAAATATGATTATATCCTTAAATCTCTTTTGTGATGCAGACAACCCATCCTTCCAAACACGTCAGCAAGCAGAAAGGCCAAGTGGCCACAGAAAAGGGCACCCAGCACTACTGGTGTCTGCACAGGATCAAACTCAAAGTGGGCAGAGAATGGCCCTAAATGCATTAAAAACAAAGGGGGATCCATGTGGCCAGAACACTGATCTCTCTTCTGAAGCTTCACTGAGCTCATGCTCTCAGTGTGCAGGACTGAGATGCTGGTTATGTAGTGTTTGTTTTACACTGATATGACACTTCTTGTCCTGGAATTAAGGCAGGAAGACACTTTGGGGGGAATTCATACAGCAAAACCCAAGCTGGGTGCAAAGTGTAATGATGACTTGAACTTTTCAAGAGTTAATTAGTTTTTGTACAGCAATCTCTACCTCCTTTTAGGGCAGGCACATGACAGGTATGGCTATTCTGAGACTGTAGTGCATGGCTTCTGGAATTTCAGGAATCAAAACTCTCTTTATTCACACTGAAGGATTCTAAAATGAATCTCACTCTGCCCAGCAGATTAATTCCTCTGCAATGCTGGGACTGGCAACCTCTGGAAACATGCTTTACTGGCCAGCCTGTGAGTCAGGAGGAGAAAGGAGCCAGCTGACAAGGTCAGGAGCTCTTTAATAATGTCATTATAGGGCCAAGTGTTTATTCAACCTCTCTCCTACCTTGCCAATCCCTCAATCATTAAATGTTCCCCTGTCTTCAATCTGAGACTTCCAAAGAGGATGCTGGGACTGTGTCTCCAGCAAGGCCAAGCTGCACTGTATGGTGCCCCTAATATCTGCTGAGGCTGCAGAGCTGTTTTTCTCACCCCTGCAATAACCACCAACACTTCTGCTTCCCCCAGAACAGCATCAAGGCTTTCCCTGTGGACAAGCTGCAGTGAGAGTGGCACAAACCCACCCACAGCAGAGCACGGTGACCCCATACTCCAAACCACATTTAAACATCACTGCAAGAGCTTGGTGCTCTCTCCTGAGCTGCAGCACTGCCTGAGCCACTCCTGAGCCCAAGCCCCAGCTGGAAATGCTGCTGGCAGTCACTGCCATACCTTGAAGGCTCTGAGCACTGCCAGAGGGTCGTCGTTAACCAGCCGGGTGACGAGAGCTGGCCAGACACGGTGAGCCATGGGAAGCAGATGGTTTCCATGAGGATGCAGCATGGTTACACAGAGCTCCAGCACGTCCAGGACCTGGGCAGGAGGGGAGGGAACAGACTCTGAGTGCTGCAGTGCCAGGCATTCAGGTGGATCCCAGCATCACAGCAGCAAGCGGGGAGGAGGGGTTGAGCAGCAAAGGGTGCGGTTTTACCGCAGCAGGAATGGGGACAAGTGAGCAGTGCTAGGAACCAGGCCTGCTTGGAAAGGGACAAGCACTGCAGTGACACAAACTGTGCTGGGCACAGAGCTGGGCTGGGAGCAGGGCAGGATTCCTGCCCTGATCCCACCTGGACCCCTCTGCGGCTGTGGCAGCAGGATCACCTGGCAGAGCTGGGGCTGCTGGGATGAGAATCTAGGTTATGCCTCATTTTTCTGTCTCACTTTGCACTTTAAAAGGAGGCCACCTTCAAAGGGTTTTCATAATTAGAAAAAAGCCAGGCTTTTAGCCCTGCTTATCATCACCCCAGCTACTTCAAAAACATTCATCAGCCTGTGCACTGCAGCCTGAGGAAGGGGGATGGGAGGCACAGATGGGAGAAAGATGCTTCTGTTTCCTCCTCCAAAGGACAAAGCACAAGACTTAACTGTCATGAGCATCAAGGAAAAGTGTCCAATACAAAGCCACCCTTAAGATTCTGTTCCACCTGGCTGCCATTCCTAATCCAGAGCACTCCCAAAAAACGATCTCCCTTTCTCTTGCCAGGTTTGGAGGATCTGTCCTGCTGGAGCATATGGCAGCACAAACCTGGGGATGGCAGGGAGCCCAACGTGCATGGCACACACGCTGACGAGCTACCAGCCCCTTCATGGGCACCATCTGTCCCCTCAGAGCCGGCCATTACCGACCTTCAGCCGCACCCGGAGGCTCCCGTCAGACAGCAAGTGGATGCACCTCTCCATCATATCCTTGGCCAGCTGAGCGTGGCTTGGCATTGGAGCCTCTCCTGTGTCAGAGTTGGGCTCTGGCTTAGCAAGGGGAACCTCATCTGAAAGACAAAACCATTACTGAAGCCATGAAAATGACTTGGGAGCTCTGGGAGATCACAGTCACAGATCACAGATCACCCATCCACAAGGACTCTGCAAATTCCTGAGGAAGGCCTTTGGCATTTTTTAATGTGCTTAGATATAGTTAAGCCTGAGTTGTGTGAGGTAGTGTCAGGTTCAGTTACAAGTGTGGGGCCAGGGAACATTCGCTTTCTTCACGGGACAATGCAGCTGGTCTGACATTTGCAGTCTCTTCTCACCATGGACTTATTTCCCATTGATTTTTATTAAAAATGAAAAGCCTGGGTATTTAAAGATGAAGTATTTAAAGGTCAGGAATTTGCAGCACAGTCCAGTGAAGACTAAAAAGTTTCCTATATGAATGTCTGCAGTGCCTGCCATGGCCAAGTGAGAAGGGAGCAGAGGCATCATTAGCCAGGAGAAAACACTACAGAGATTCCCAAGGGAACATGAGGAAACCACACAGGATCCTGGAAAGAGGAAACTTCAAGTGCTGAACCAAAATGAACAAGGTAAGAAAAAACACATTGTGCTTGTGTCTCAGAGCTAGAGAAGCCTTGATCTGTAAACATTTGGCTCCCTCACTCAAAGAGAACAAAGTGAGAACACCCAACAGCACTTTACATGAAGCAAGGACAGCCCAAAGAAGACCTGAGACTGTCAGCCTGGTCCCAAGGCCCCCATGTGACAAAAGGACACCTCAGAGGCCACAGTTTCTCTGCAAGCTGACCATACTCCTCTCCAGCCACGCACAGCACTGACCTGCCTCCTCCTCCTCCTCCAGGTCAGGAAGATCCCCCTCTGCAATCTTCTTCTGGCTGATGTAGTCAAGGAAGAATCGTTCCACTTCTTGACTTGTCAATGCCACCTCCTGGTGTCCCTGGGACCGAGCTCTGCTCTGCCCCTTGTCAATCTGCCTTTGCTGGTGCTCCTCAGTGCTGGGCATTCCAAACCACTGCACTGCAAAAAAGGAACTGACATGTCACTGGGCAACCATGATCCCCTCCTGCAAGTCAGCAAGGTGCCACGGATTCCATGAGAGATGAGATGGTTGTCACACCTCATGGGGTTGCACCTGACTCGGGCACCTCCTGTCACATCCCAGTCACCTCCTTGATAGTATGGGAAAGTTAAAAAGGAATACATGGTAAAAGTAAAAAGAAATATATGCCGTGTACTCCTACAGAATGTTCATGGCAGCAGTGAGCCCATCCTTTCTCAGCCACTAAAGGCCATGTTCCTGTGAAAGGCTGCAGGTCAGGCAAACTGGAGAGGGAAAGCTACTGGTGATCTTTGCTTGAGTGCTGCCCCAGCAAGCAAAGCACAGCTGCCATCACACTGCAATGCCTTGGGTTACCTGGAACCTCCCATGGCAAGTGGAAAGGCTCAAGACAAGTACCCTTAGTGACAGCAAGGCTGAATTACACAAAGTAAACATCATTTTGGTACCTAGAGCAGTCATGACTGAGTGGAGGACCCTGAGGAAGGTGGAAGCCTGGCTATTGTAAGTCTGATCTAGAGCAGACAGGACATCTTGGATAACATCTTCTATCAGTGGCAGCAAGCTGGCATCTGAATGCCTCAGCATCGTGTCCAGGACCTGGGATGCACGTGGCTGACAGGCCAGCTGGCGCAGGTTCAGGGAAATCCCGTTCACCAGGTAGTCAGAGTTCTCATTGATCAAACACCGCACCGAGCTGTACCCACAGGCCTCACACATGTCTGCCAGCGTCCCCAGTGCTGTCTCACTGATGAGCAGAGTCCTGTCACCAGCCTTCTCCAGCACAGGGTAGAGAGCTGACAGCAGCAGCAGCCGGAACTCCTTCCCAAGGACAGCAGCAAAGCAGCCAACGCCCTCCAGCTGGATGCAGATCTGCCAGATGTTGCTGTTCATGGTGCGGGCTGTGACTGGGGGCTCTGGGGACAGATGGAGGGCGCTGCTGGATGTCCCCCCTGCACGGACAGCGAGTCCCAGGTGCTGCACTGACTGCTCAGGGCTGCCTTCCTCTGTGTCAATGCTAGTCACCAAATACCAGTTCGCTTGGTCCATGTACTCATCCAGAATGGATGTTATGGACCTTTTGAGATCATCCATGCTCAGTGGAACTTCCCTCTCCTGCAGGAAATCCACTCCCACCCCAGCAGCTCCCGTGAGCAGCTCGTTGAGGATCATGGCTGCCTGCTTTCGGTACAGGCCAGACTCGCTGTACAGCCCCATGAAGTGATCCACAAGCAGGTAGAGGTTCCCATAGTAGCCAAGAACACGACACACTTGCTGAAGGAGCTGGAAAACCTTCTCCTCCGTGAAGAAGCGGAAATATTTCTTCTGGCACCTGCCCTTCTGCACACCCTGCTGCAAGGGGCCCGGCGGCCCAGAGCGCCGGGCCTCCACTATCTTCACATCTGTCACATCCAGCTCCAGAACCTGCACCAGCGCCTTGGACAGGCGCTGCAGGTGGGACATGGAGTTGAGGACAATGTTAATCTTGGGGCCCAGCAGCTTCAGGTAGCCCAGCAATAAGCTCAGCGTGGAAACCTTGCCCATGTCATCCTGAGAGTTCATCAGGCGGGGAAGGGCTGTGGCAAGGGAATGGAGGTTCTCAGAGAGGACATCAGCAAGAGCCCTGCTCTGTGCCACAATCCTCTGCTCTGCAATCCCTTGCAGAACTTTGTTACACCTGCTCTGGACTTCGCTGTTTTCATCATTAACCAGCCCAACCAAGGCCTTTAAGAGGTGACTGAATGAGTCCACCAGTGACTGACTGCAGTTCCTCAGTAAGTGGTGGACCAGCTCCACCAGCTCCAGTCTCACCTTCCAGTGGGGGTGAACTGAAGAAGATTCAACCACCTTATGCAAGAGAAGAGAGAGTTTTTCAGCAGTACTTTTAGTCCAGTCAGGTCCTCTGTGGATCATTAGCTCTGATATTCTGCTGTGCTCCACCAGCAGCTTTTCCTTACTCTTTGGGATTCTGGCTAGCTGTTTGTCAGCCATGACCAAGCCAACAATCAGATAAAAGAGTCTGATGGCAGAAACAGTGGTTTTGTGACCTTGTTTGATGTCTCCAGCAATAACTCGAGACAGTGTAATAGAAATCCCAGGTAGAAAAGAAGCAAACAAATCCCCACATTGCTGTGCCTCGTCTTCATCCAGATGTCGGTGCTCCTGGCAGTCACACTGCAGAACCAGGACCTGCAAGCACTCCAAAGCAGAGATCTTGATTTGCTTTGCTTTTTCTTGCTCTGCAAGGGTCAGAAGCAAAGACACAGCAAATCCTAGGAGCGGAAGGGTGGAAGGTTGGTACAGAGACAAGATAATATCCCCATAAGCCGAATGCATCAGGGTGTGGAGTGCCTGGATCACAGCCAGCTTCAGTTCCTCGGACAGCGGGGCGGCTTTGCCCGAGCTGGGAGGGGGAGCGAGGCAGGTACAGAGCTCAGAGAAGAGCTCCTGCAGCAGCTCCTGCTTCTTCACGCACGTCGCGGCAAGCACGGAGGAGATGCACTGCACCAGGCTCTGCACCAGCCGCTCCTGCTTGGGCCCCGGCAGGCGCAGGGCGAAGCGCAGCGGGAACAGCACGTACTCCTGCAGCTCCTGCAGGGCCGCGCCGCTCACCCCGGCCAGGTGCGCCTGCAGCAGCCGCACGTTCTCCACCGTCTGGGCCCGTGTCAGCTGCACGCAGACGGGGCGCAGCGCCCCGAACGCCGCCTGCGGGGTGTCGAACACGGCCATGCCGGGGACTGGGGGCCGCGGGCCCTGCCCGGTGCTGGGGGGTCCCACCCGGGCCCGGGGCCGCGCTGGGGCCAGGCCGGGCAGCCCTAAGGGTGTCGGAAGTGACGCCGCGGTACCAGCGCCACAAAGCTCCCGTGAAGTGGGGAGGGCGCTGTGAGAAAAGTCTCGGGCGCCCGCAAGGCGCATGCGCCAGATACGTGACACTGAACTAACGGGGCTGTCAGCGCCACAAAGCTCCCGCGGGCCTGGGCAGGCGCTGTGAGAAAAATCGCGAGTGCTCGCAGTGCGCAGGCGCCGAAGATGGTTGCGCATGCGCCGAGCCCGCCCGCCGCGCAGCCCGGCTCCCTCCGGCGCTCCGTACGATGCCGCCCCTCGCCCCGCGGCGGGGTCAGGGCGCGGGCGGCCATCTTGTGGCGGCGGCCCCGGCGGGTTGTTGTCGGTGAGGCCGCGCCGCGCCCCCCCCGCGGGCGGAGCAGCCCCGGCCCCATGTCCTCCTTCTCGGAGTCGGCGCTGGAGAAGAAGTTGTCGGAGCTAAGCAATTCCCAGCAGAGCGTGCAGACGCTCTCGCTGTGGCTCATCCACCACCGCAAGCACGCGGGGCCCATCGTCGCCGTGTGGCACCGGGAGCTCCGCAAAGGTGCGCGGGGGGTTTGTCCGGCGGGGGCCGCTCTGGCAGCCCCTGCCCCGAGATAGCGGAGCTGCCGTTGAGCGCGGCCGGTTCCTCCTGGCGGAGCTCGGCGGGCCGGCCCCGGGAGAAGTTGGTGTCCGGGAGTTGTGGGAGCCTGGCCGCTGTTTGGCTGCTGTGTTGTTGTTTACTAAACTTTGGGGGGAATGCCACGTGTGAGGGGAGCATCCGCTGATAGCGGCGGCGGCTCTGGGAAGGCAGAGACACAGCCAAGCGTGGGTTGAGAGGGAGGGGATGCTCAGCTCTGGGCGGGTGTAAAACAAGAAATGTACGAATTACGTTCCCCTGACTGTGCTCAGGCAGACTTGGAAGTGCTGTTGCTGTTTGGCTCCGTTTTTAAATTTTGAGTTTGGATTCATACAGCTCACCCGTTACAGAGTTAGTGAGAGGAGATAAGCAAAGAAAAAGTAGTTGTAGGAGTCTGTAAAACTCTTTGGTGCTATCAGCCAGAAACATTTTGTGCGTGTTTTCCTTGCAGATTAACAAAAGGTGATTTCCCAGATGGCTTCATCCTGAAGCCAAGGGAGGTTGCAGTGCCTGGTGGAAGATGTTCCTGCCGGTGGCAGGGGTAGGAACGAGGTGATCTTTAAGGTCCCTTCAAACCCAGACTATTTTAGGATTGGATGCCCTGTCCCCAGGTGCAGCCAGTGTCACCATTCCCCTGCAGACACCATCGCTGTGAGCCCCTTGGAGCAGCTGGGCTATCTTCTGTGTGATTGCTGCTTTTTGCCATTTGTAGTTTATGAATGAGTTTTTGAAGAGCTGCCTTTGCCCTGTTGTGGAAATGAGCACCTTTGTTTTCTGCCTTCTGTGTTATTTTTGTTGGGGGAACAGTGAAATTCACTAATTCTGGCCATATTGATGAAGAAACTGACGGTGTCAAACTAGGACAATTTAAGGTGTATTGAAGAAATTTGATATTAGGAGCATTGTTTGGAAAATTTTTGAGTCTCCACAATAGCTTTCTCCTGCAGTTTCACTCAGAATGAGTTACTCAGTTTTATTAGACTATTTTTCCTGAAGTTAATTAATAAAAAATAAACTAATTGGTTTATTAATTTGCTGATGGGTTAAAACAGCTTTTTCAAATTGTGTTTAAAATTTATTGGTTTTTCAGAGTTGAGGTGTCACTGTGCACAAAAAGCATTAAACTCATGTTTGTTCTATCAATTAATTGGAAAAGAGCAGAAGAGAGGACATTGAGAACTACTTGACTTGAAAGCCCCTGGTTTCCTTTGGTAAAATGGAAGTGTTTTGAACTTTGCTTTTAGACTGCAAAGCTAAACAACTATCAACAACTTTGAAAGCCCTGTTAATGATTCCAGGTGAAAGAAACAAGAAATAAATAAAAACTCTCCTTTTGTTTTTTTCCTTTTCTATTTCCTTTTTTTTTCCCCTTTCTCAGCAAAATCAAGTAGGAAACTTACTTTCCTGTATTTAGCAAACGATGTCATCCAGAACAGTAAGAGGAAAGGCCCTGAATTTACCAGGGAGTTTGAATCTGTTCTCGTGGATGCATTTTCTCACGTTGCCAGGTATGTTGCTGTATTTCTTCAGCTTTCCTCTCTAGAGATTTGCATTCTTGTTATTCAAAGCTTAATTCAATTGGATTTTGTTTTTTTTTTAAGTCTAGTGTGTGCTTGTACCTTCTGTATAGTAGAGATTGGATCCTGACTGTTTTGTGGTTAGGGACTGTTTAGTGTAAATGGATAACTGTGTATGTGAACCAGTCCTTCACAGCTTTACATGTTTGTGAAGCTCCTATGGACTTTATTTCAGTTGTTACCTAAAGATCTGGCAGATCTGTTTATGAGCAGTGGAATTGAGCACTTGGGTGTGTTTGTTAAAGCCACATAATGAATGGCTCTGCCCCATTGTCAAAAGACTTTGAAAGAGCTGATGTTTTGGGTCACTGGGTTCTCACCAGCCCTGGGTTGAGCAGTTCCTTTGTGTGTTACCTGACCAGTAATATCCTTGCTGGAAGAAGGAAGAATTTCATAGTTAAAAGGGAAGAAGTGATGCAGCCACCACCTTACCAAAAATGCAGTGTTGTTTATTTAAGATTGTGTCTAAATGGCATAATGAGTCCTGTTACCCCAGCTAAACAACATTAATGCTCTGGGTATTTGTCTGTTCTGGAAAGCTGTGACTGTCAGAGCAGCTCTGAGTGCATTTAAGTGCCTAATGATCCAATCAACCTGCTTTTAATTGGGATGTTATTGGCTGAAACAGCTGGTTAAAGTTAATACTCAGAGCTGTAAACTTGTCAGCTTCAGGGTTTTTTATAAACTCTTATTGCATATTCTGAATGATAGCAAATGTCTTCTTTCACAACTTTCCTGCCCTTACTTTGAGGTGGGAATGGTGGGAGACTTCCAGGCAATCTTTAGGTCAAATAAAGAGGAAAATTGGCTACATGTGTGTTTTGCACAGTTTGTCTCAGACAACAGGAGCAAAATTCTCTCCAAATGTTCACATATTGCAATGGGTGCAGCTGCCAGTTTGGAAGATGCTCTCTGAACACATGAGGAGTGTTGATCAGCTGAAGTGTAATGATTTCCCAATCTTTGAGCAGGGAAGCAGACGAGGGCTGCAAGAAGCCCTTGGAACGATTGCTGAACATCTGGCAGGAGAGGAGTGTGTATGGCAGCGAGTTCATCCAGCAGCTCAAACTGTCTATGGAAGACTCCAACAGCCCCCAAACAAAAGGTAAATGCATATTGCTTGTCATATGTGTTTTGTTTTTAATTTGGTGCATGTTTCACTGCAATTACTGTGAGGAGTTGAGCTGTTGCCAGAGCTGGTTGTGGAGATTCTTCAGGACTGTGTTGAGAAGTGTGATTTTTGTAAAACCCTCAGTTCTGGTTTGCAGATGTGCTGTCGTGGGGCTGGCAGTGAGCTTAGCTGGCTGTGATGTCTGGTGCTGCTTGTGCAGGTTCAGTGCTCCAGGGCTGCCTTTTGGGGTGAAAGCAACTCAGCCATGCAGGGAACTCTGTATCCACCTCAAGTGTCCCACTCTGCATCTCTGAGACTGCTCAGCTGGGTTATTAGAGTGTCTTATTCAATCCTGTCAGTGCTTTCATTCTCATATTAATTGTTTTGTTTTCCATAGTCACTGATTTTATTATGATGCAGAAAGGAGTTTTGAATAATTGAAGTCTGAAATATATGCCCTATAAGCTTGTCTGATCTCTTATTTTCTTACAACAGCTGATGTCATTTGGAGAAAACTAACTTTGCATAATTTAATATCATTAGAACATCACAGGTATAACCTTATTACTGCATGAGACCTGTGAGAAACTGAGTGTAAGCTTGTGTTTGGTGTGCTTTGATTTACTGCTTTGGCAGATCTTGCCTCTTCTGTAGCACTTGCAGGTGTTTCACTGGTAGTGCTCCAGTGGAAAGAGGGGAGCAGTGGGATGCCTCAACTGTGGAAGGTGAGGGTCATTAAAAATTCTGGTTAAAGGAATATTTGTCCACCTTACAGCTGAAGGAAGTGGATGCTCCACTCCTGGAAATGTTCAAGTCCAGGTTGGATGGGGCCCTGAGCAAACTGGTCTTGTGGCAGGTGTTGCTGCCCATGGCAGGGGAGTTGGAATGAGGTGGCCTTTAAGGTCCTTTAAGATCCCTTCTGTTAAGCCATTCTATGATTCTGTGAAGTGTCAGTGTCTTCAAATGAGCTGGAATGACGTTGCTGCTCTGGTCATATTTTTTTCTATTGCCCACAGAGTTCTGATGGTGTGAGAGAGTTGGCATGGTCATTAGTAAAAGGCTCTTGTGCCATTCTTAGGTGGTGAAAACAAGGTCTGATTGAGTTGGTATTTAATGTAGAATTTGTAAGATGTGAGCATAAATGAGATCTGTATGTGAAGACATCTCTGGCTGTAGCTTTGTGCTTTTTCACAAGTGCTTTGGGCAGAACTGCTGGATGGATGCTCTAGCAGCTCACACCAGTGCCCTTCCACCTGCCCCTGATTGAGGTGTACCCTTTGGAAGATGACTTCTGCAGTTTTTTCCCCAAATGTTGTGAGCCAGCTGCCCTGACCAAAGGGGTTATCCCATTTCTGTGGAGATACAGGGAGTCTGTGCTCTGGGGGTGAAGGTGAACAGTCTCTGCATGAAGTGGCTCATGTTGGGGTTCCTGTTGTTTGGGTGCAGTGAATGAGGCACCTGTGTATTCTCAAAGGGTAGAATTTACACTCCTGACAACCCTGACCTGATTAACTGAGGACTTGAAACTTTAATTTAGTGTAGCTGGGTAGGTGTTTCACAAGTGTTTAACTTTGAATCTAAAGGCATTGATAATTGGTACCATGTGTTAGTTCCTGGTCATTTGGCAACCAG